AACATTATTATAGGAAACTGTTGACTATGTACAGACCTTTCACAACTGGTAAAGTGACGAACTGGTCCGTTTTGCTAATGAAAGACTCCAGTGTTGCCAGGGTGTCAATGAAGAAATTCGTTAAAAAATTGAAAAATTCCGCTACGTTTCGCTACTGCCTCTTGTCATATCACAAATGTCATATGTCACATTTTGCTTGTTTTATGTTAGTAAAAAATAAAGTTTAGTGGTATATTTTAACATTTTTGTGACAAGTGAATTGATGGAAGGACTGAATATATTATATTCCGTGATTTTAACATAATTTCATCTTAACGATATTAAACAAAGGCACAAGATGTCAATACCATAAAAATTACCTGTTGATGTTAATATTAAAAAAGGGCGCAAGATGTCGCTACCATAAAAATAACCGATTTTTTTATGGTATTTGACTGAACTCGTCTTTATAATAAACGGTACAAATAATGTTTATACAATTACTTCAAGATTTATTATTTTTTTTATACTGTGACAGATTTCATTTCAAATTCCGCTACGTTTTTGGGTATTTTGAGCTACCGTCGCTACCTTGATCAAATTCCGCTACGAATAACGGAATTTCGCTACGTCTGGCAACACTGCAAGACTCACAATGAATGGTCACTAAAATACTTCAAATATTTTACTGATACGGAAATAAATGACCTCAGCAAAATTTGTCAAATCTGAACTATGCTAGTGAAATTTCTGGAAAACAAAATTTAAGTAAAAAAAATCAAGATATTTTTGATTGAATGGAAAATTGTCAAGATAGATAATACAATGGGAATTATCATGCGGTTTTTATGTTTGTCAGAAGTACAATATTAACTATTAGCTGTTTCATAAGAGAATTAGAGAGTTAAATAAAAGAAACAAACAAAAAAAGTAAAAGAATTTTTTATTACAAATATTGAAAGACAGGGAGAGATGAGAGACCAAATATCAAAAACAGAGATCAGATTAGAACAATGGTGGCCAGGAGAGCAGGAGTAAACAGATTAGCAGAGGGTAAAGAAACTTAGAGCAGAAAAGAGAGAAGAGCGGCAAAGAAACTTATAACCTTAAACATTTTTTTTTTTTATTTAAAATTTGATGTTTATTGCATTTTAAATTTTTAGAAAATTAACCCACCCCTTTTGAAACTTTGGGGCAAGATATTAGAAATTGAAATAAGTTGGTATTCCCATATCAGTACATACATTTAAAACCCTTAATATACTTAATGTTTGTGGGAAAATGATACTTATAAAAAAAACTAAAAATCAATAAGTTCCAAATACTATCACTAGAGGAAAGTATTTAAGATAATACATAGGGATCATTTCTAGTCATTCAATTGGTCACTAATTACTATAATAATAAGGTAAACCTACCTGTCACTCATGGGTCTAATAATATGTATTAATAAATACAAAATATTTAAGCACTGTCAAATAATAGAAAAACTTGGAGGTAAATGAAGAAAAGCAAATTAAACTCTAGAAGACGAAACATTTAAAATTATTTAAAATAAAAAAAGATACTGGGAGTGGTGCACACACTAAACAAGAGGGATTGAAGAATGAAAGGCATACATCGCTGTGTGATACATTTTAATTAGGCTGGGCGCTTTCCGATTTACAAAGCCATCATCATAGCCATCCCAAACGTGTTGTATATTGATCAATCAAGTGAGTAAGAATAAAAATACAAATGTATTGCTAATAGATACCACCCCACCACAGTATTTCTTAAATAAAATAAACATTAGGATGGTATGGACAAAACGAAAACCTTTTCAAATTTATTTTGTTTAACGATAAAGTTTAAACCTTTAATATTGTAATCGATTGATTATCTTGATTAAAATTGATTTATTATAGATCGCCATCATGGATTGAGATGTGCCGGTGGCAGACATGACATATTAATAATACATTGACAAATGGCATTAACAAAATGACAGGAACGTCTAGAGTCAACGGAATTAAACCGTAACAAAATTATCACAAATAAAAATAAGGTAATTGCGGGGATAAAAGCCATGACAGGATTCTAGGGTTATGATCAGTACTATTATATAACTTTAAATTTTAAAGCGTAGAGAGAAGAGCTTTTACTCTAGAACTATACTAGGCCAGAAACTTGAAGAACGATAGACGAGACTAGTCCATGACCCATACATGGCACCTAGACTAGGTTTTTACAGTTAGGGAGGAATTTATAGACGAGCATTAAGGCTCTCTTTATGTAAAGGATCCTCGAGACGTCCTTACCTTCTTTGTTCTATAAACGCTTCCTCGAGGAAGGAATGCTTGAAACTTAACATTTGACAACGTATTTTATTTCGTTTAACATAAAAAGCACAGTCATGCAGAAAAGTGAGGTTGTTTTGTGCCCATTGAATTTGATCCAAGTTGAAACTCCTTTTCACCGTAGCTGTGCTTAAGATTTTGCGTTTCGCAGTAAATTTTGATAATTTTACGCTTTTCAAAATGTCAGGAAAAGAAAATCAGGCGCCTTCTATCTATCTAAATTAGAGTGTTGTTCAAAGCCCACTCGTGCTGAAGCTCTGGACATATTGTATCCCTCACAGTTTCTGCCTTATCAGGTTAATGGTTGATGAATTCAAAAATATGATCTCTGATGAGCGCTTTCGCGATTTCTTCAGGTTCCGGGTATTGTACCCCCGAAGTATCATTCCTATTTAAAGTTCTGGCAAGTGAAGTTTAATCCTCCTCTTCAGATATTCTAGATAGAAAGTCGCTGAATATCTCTAGGAGATTTAGGTGCCTTCTAAGGCCGCAGTGCCCCTTAAAGAGTCCTATTACGGCCTTTAGTTCGCTTCTGTTAAGGTTTAGCAGTTAATTTTGTCTGCTCTTGGATGGACCCTCTGTAAATATTTTGGACTGTCTAAGTCCAGGAAGTTCCAACCACAGCCTATGGTGTTTTCTATTTATTTGTTGATATGAAATACCACGTGGGTTTTGGTCCAGTTAGAGTTTTCTCACTTCTCAGCTTCCTTCCTAGCTAGGAGGTCCGCTTTTGGTTTCCCAACAGCTCATTCGTGTCCCAGCACCCATTCAAGAGTGACCTTGATATGTTCTCCCAAAGCCTGGAGGTACTGTTGGCAAACAAATATTAATTTAGATTGTACTTATACCCTTTTCAGTGCTTTAAGGGCTGTCTGGTTGTCTGTCGTAATAAAGATCCTCTTATTTCTAAAAGAGTCATTAGCATAACTTTGGCGCAGACATTTATTGTTCAACAGCAACCAAAACAACTATTACTTAGTTTGTAAGTTCCTCTCCAGTAAGGAATTAAATTATATTTTGAACTGTATCTTTGGAAAATCCCTAACGGGGTTTGACTACTCATTATCTAGCCTTCCAAATAGATTAACCCAGTGTCTTATGTAACGCTTAGGCATCTTGATATGAGGAACCATTTCATCCTCCACTAAGTCTGCATAATCCATGAACTCTTCAAATTAAATTCAAACAAATCCCAGCAAAATTAAATCTCTACACTATAACAAATTCTATATTTTAACCATACAATCGGTGAAGCACGTCTTAAGGTAACTCCAGACCTACCTTGATCTTAAGGGCTCCTTAAGGATTCCTTCGACGACTATAAAATATATTTTACTCCTAAGCAGACCTCACTATAAATTCCACCTTTACTACCTCTTCAAAATTTAAAGTTGCTAAATAGTTTTCCCAAACCAGCTAGGTCTTGGGTTCTTTGTCATTATAAACGAATAATAATCCTATCTTCAATGACATTATTTATTCGTGATAATTTTGGTTCGGTTGACTCTAGAACCATTCACGATCGTTTCTGTCAAATTTGTCAATGTCATATCATGTCATGTGTCTACCACCGGGACGCCGGGACGCCGTGATCGTTGATGGCGATCTTCAATAAATCAATCTTAATCAGGATAATGTATCTATTATAATATTAATGGTTTAACTACTGTTTTACTATCCAAAATTAACGGTTTTAGAATGTTTTTGTAATACTCATAACGTCCAAATGTTTATTTTATTCATGACTTTTTGTAGACGTAAGTTTGTAATTTAATTCTTTATCATTTAATGGTTAATATACCTGTAACACCTCTTTGAATGGCTATGATGAAGGCTTTGTAAATACGAAAGCTCTTTTAACAAAAAAAATGTTATACCCTGATATATGTATGCCCTTCAATCTTCAACCATATTAAAAATAGTTTGATACTCGACAAAATATTGCTAATCAATGACAGTAAAATGGATTTATATCTACTGGGAATCTCGAAAAAAAAATTGTTTCACTATTAAAGGAATCGTCGAATTTTGAGCAAAGTGAACCACTTTCCCGTTACTTTTTCCTTCTTACACACACTACGTCTATCTAACTGTCGCTAATACGCACAATAATAATCTACGGCTTAAAATATTAAAAATAAATATATATTTTTGGTCCTCCGCTATTCATCCTACCTACCGCAAATCTAGAAATTCTATTTTTTCTATTTTACTAGTAGGAATTTTTCTCTATGAAGAAATTCTCACATCATTATCATTAGTACACCATAAATCACAGATTATTTAGTTTGAAATGTACTTATCATACTAAACTCAACGAAATATTATACTTTAAACGACACAGCTGTCAAATTATGATAAAAAATCATTTGAAAGCAGTCAAACGTCAAACTTTGACAGGAATTTTAGTTTGTCAACTGTCACACTTTGAAGTTACTAAAATATATAGTCTGCCGATATTTTAAATTTAGACTATCAGTTATTATATTTTTGATATCTTGTCATTTAATTATATCGATTATATACGATATAAAATATTCAGATTCTTTTCTAAGATTTAATTTACGAAGTTAGAGTTAGACATATTTCTTATTTCTGATACACAATAATGATTTTTAAAATAAAATCATTGTATATTAAAAAAAATTAATTGTAAAAAAATGGAAGAACGTTACATATTTACTTAAAACTAAGTTTTGGTAAACCCCTCGTTAGAAGGAAAACATTTTCAAAAATCACGTAAAAAATTATTTTCTTTTTCTTTTCTAAAACCGCTAACATCAAAAATGATTATGTTACAATTGCCTGGATTGTTAGAAAGTCTGCGAGGCAAAGAACAATGCTAGTGTAGTTCACAACAATTATATCCAACAAAAATCTCTCAACAATACACGATCGTAATACTCTTGAACAAATAAGTGTTCTTTACGTCACGATTTTGACAGTTCTGAAGTTTGAGCATGCATGCTGAAGTTTAACAGTTCTTAATAAAAGTCAAAACAGCCATGTACTGACTTTTATAAAACAGATAAAACATTTAACGCAATTTTTTTCTATGTAAGTTTTTAAAACAGTTAAAATTGTCATACTATCCACGTTTTTTGATAGTAAAGAAAACATTAATTATTTCATTCAGTAGAAAACCTAACCAAAATGCTGTATAAGGATTTGTTATATAGTACTAGCAAGATCAAAACTTCGGACCTGCTTTGCTTGTGTTGGAGTAAATAGTAAATATAAAACTAGTGTTAGAAATACATCCAACATATTCAGCTAAAATCTGAAAGCCAACCCTGTTTCATAAATTAAATATGTACCGAGTTGATCCATCCAAAAAGATGAAAAATCATTTTTATTTTAGATTCCAGCTCTAAACTTTCGATTTTTCTGAAAAAAATTTGAAATTTATTTATTCTAATTCAATTAGAACAGATATAATTTCAATATTATACCCATTTTGGAGGAAAATAGCCAGATTTAAATAAAATTAAAATATTTCTTGGAAGTTTAAAGCCCTCTACAAATAATTTCAGTCATGAAACCATTACTCTTACTACACTAGCACCGTCTATACAACTACTCGACTCAACCAACCCCCATACCACCCCCTAAATATTCTCCACCGCACCAGTAGTGCTCCCGTCTATCTCAGTTTCGACAAATCGCCTGTACTTGTTCTTTCCGATCTCTACAGTTTTCAAAAAATCGCTCTCGCCGAACAAAAATCGCTTCACGTTCTCTTCCATTTCGGCATAACGGGCGCGATCGATGCCATCTGCGTTTTCCGATCGAGAATTGTCGGAGCTGCTGACGTCCGGCTCGTCGACGTTGCTTCGTATCCAATCGGCGACGCGTTGTTGCTGATTCTGAGCCTCCGAGGCTACGGAGTCGACTTCTGAGCCAAGTAGAGATTTTTGAGACCTAGGAAAAACCGTTGTAGAAATATAAATCATCAAATACTTCGGAATTTTCGAGAACAGAGTCCATTTCAATGAGACGTTCTTGAAGAACACTTATTACACGTTAGTGTTCTGATTTTTTAAAAATATAATGAAAAGTGTACGAGTACTACTAAATAGATGACCAGTGGAAAATTTAAAAGTTTTACTCGACTAATAATTTGGATTAATTTTTAATTTGCATTAAAGACTAAATTAGGAAATATTATATAGAGTCAAAATTAATAGAGGAACAAGCATCATTCAAAACAGGAAAACAGACAAATAAGAATTATATACAGTACTGACAACATCAAACCTTCAGTTCTTCTTTGCTTGTGTTAGAGGGAATAGTAAATAACGCTAGCACACGCAGAAAAAGAAACGACACTGTAACAATGTTACCATTCACAGATCTATACCAACAGAAAGTACCAAATAGCCAATCTAGCTGTTCTACAGAGGTCAGGAAAGCTGTTAAGAGAATTCATAATCGTAGAGCCCCGGGACCGAACGACATCAAGAATAAATGTATATGGGTTATTTTAATGAGCAACAAAGTGTTTCCAAAGTTTCTCTCAGCTTGATATAACAGCATGAATAATATCCTGAGGAGAATTAATGTTACTAATTGAAGAAGAATAGATTCTATAGCTGCTAAAACGACTTTTCCATTTCCAACTATTCCTTTAGGTCTTTTAACCCAGATGAAAACGATCTTGATTTTAGAATTATGAAGAGAAAGGAGAGACTGAATCATTTCTCTTATAATAGGATTTTTGTTAATATTGCAAGAATAGTTAAAAATTGAAAGTAAACCAGATTTCGAGTCTGAAAGAATAACCGATTTGCTTTCTCCATAGCTTTTTATGAAAATGAGTGCTTGTAAAATTGCAAAAGCCTCCGCTGTATAAACAGATGAATAATTTGGTGTAAACGAAATTGGGAAATAAAGTTTTAATTTTCCACATAAAGAGCGCATCCTGTACCTTGTTTTCCTTTAAACCCATCGCAAAAAATAGTATTAACTTTATCTAGCGTTTCCAGTACCGATTATATGATTACATTATTAATTTTAGGGTAAGAAGTAAACTCAGGGAATAAGATTGTTGGCTTGAACAATAAGGGGAAAAAACTGGCATCGTCTCAAATTGCTCTTAGAACATCGTCCAAAAATTGGGTGAAACTGAGTATACTGTCCGGGGCAAACTAAGGTTGCAGACAATGGCCGGAGGATCCCAACCCGAAACTTCAGAGTTTACCACCTTTGTTCTGCTGAGGCACGCCATTGGAATCCAATCCATCTGATAAGACGTCACATTCCACCAAGTAAATTAATGTGGCTATCATACAATATTTGCGACTATGACTTAGTCTACTAATAAACTCAGTTCTGCTATTAGCATTACCCAGCAACAACGACGGGGACGTTGCAGATACTGTTCCCTTCGGTCTGTTTATAGTGAGTCTCCGCGCCTCTCACTTTTTTCCCTTTCAATTTCTTAATCTTTGCGTGCTTGTTTATGGGGTCTGCAGGTTTGATTAAAACTTCTTCTAAGCGCCTTTTTCTTATGCCCCTTGTTGGTATCCCTTTTCAAGTTCCAACAGTAATCTGCCAACATGTTAACGCTTGGCAGTGGAATAGAAAGTCGCCAGTTAGTAACCCCCTGAGCCAGTTCTTCACATTGGGCTGTCCCTGGTCAAGATTTATGGCCCCTGTCCAATGTTTGGAAGGTATTTACGACCTAGACAGTTACTCCTCAACTTAACAGATCGCTTGAGAAATTGTCCAGGGGCCGGTTCCGGAAAAGCACCATTTTAACCTCTAAATGACCTTAAAATCTGATGTGGCAAAACTGACCCCGGGATCGGATTCAGGACGCCAAAATACCTAGGAATACCATGGTCCCGTCAAATAGTCCGGAATTTTTTTTGTAAACCTGTGTAATCATAAACACAATGAAGTACATTTTTGGAATAAAAAAATAGTACGATGAATTTTATTATATCCTTTTTCACCAAATGGTTGGTGAAAGTATTACATCGCAAGTAACCAATAACAGTTGCGATTAGAGAGCCATTGAAATAAATGATGCCAGAATATAGTAAATAATTTTGATTTGTTATATTCAAATCGTTGTATATAATTAGCAGCCGTGTATTCACTAAAGGCGGATACTTCCACTGAGATTGGTAGAACGACATATACGAAAACGTTTTTATATGAACAAGTTTCAGATTGAGCAGCATGGGGCAGATTTCGAGACAGAAAAAATTAGATACATCCAAAGTGTCATTCGATTTCTAATTATCTTTTAATTTTCGTTTTCTTGTCAAATTGAACCCACCAAGAGAAAATTTTGATAGGCAGAGTCGCAGGACTATCATATCAATATATGCCTGCTAAAAAAGGCACAGGAGGAAATAAAATTGCCCAAATTAAAGAGATCGGAATTGATAATGGGAAAACTTTGATAAAGATGAAGACATTAGCCAGAGGTAAAAAATAATGAGTCCAGGTAAAGGATCCCAATCTGGAAAGGCCTAAGGATATGAGAAAGTAAAACAAATCGGATATATCCCTAATTTTTTAAATTGACAGCATCGAAATGGGCAGCATCGTACTGATGATCACGTGGGGGTAATTCAGCCACATGATTATAACTATTGACTAATCCTCTTCTTTATTATGAAATACCGCTTCAACAACTTAAAAATTATTGTTGCAATAAAAGCGTATCTTATTTTGAAGGGTGAGTAAAACTAACGCAAATTATGGATGGTGTGTTATTTTGCAATTAATAACATATTATTACTCTAATAAAAAATTTGTTGTTCTTTGACTCAAATAATTTAAAAAACATACGATTGATTAAATATCAGGTAATGAAGTGATTATTGTCATAAATTAGTTTGTATAACAGTTTCAACATCTTTTTAAAAAAGGTTCCGTTCTCATGACTCCGAAGTAAAAACATTCATCGACTCGATTAACTACAAAAAAAATATAAAATAAAAAAAACACAAACTTAAATTCTTTATTATCATAATTAAAATTATATTACTTACTAAAAAACAAAAAAAAAAAATATACAATCAATTTGATTTATCTACTTTTATTACCTAGTGTACAGTACAGGTGCAATGTTGTTGTGGGCGTTGTCCAATAGAATGTTCTTGGTGCCCCTCTGCATTCTCATCGAAGCGTACCTGGGACCTCTGGGCGATGTTTTGTCGCTATCGATGTCCTCCATCTTTTCGGAATCGCCCTTTTCCGATGCCGAATCGATTTCGTAGCTAGGTTTCGATTGGTCACACAATCTGCACGAGAAAATAATTCTATATTTAATACAACAAAATCAAATGTCAGGATAGTTAAACGTCAAGACTGTCGAATGTCGGGAGAGTCAAAACTGTTGAATTAATAGCGTCTAAATCGGACTTCAGTATCGATGTTACCACCGATATATACACAGTTTTTGTAATGTCATCTGTCAATTTTGATTTTTGATATATTTATGACTACCATCACAGAAATTCATTAAAAAAAATGGAAGTGTTGTTATATATTTGTTATAAAACTGGTAAGATAGCAAGTATCTAGAAAGTTGACAGTTACATAATAATTTTTTACACATAATTATAATTATATCCGCTAGTGACTATATAGACGACCATTTTAGCCACACACCGTATGTTATCGAATTAAAATTATAAAAATAAATGACTAATAAATAAAAATATGGAATTTTGTCCTATTATAGCTATCAACTGTAAAAATCATAATGTCGAATGTCATATTTAAAAGCTCACCTGTCAAGTATCAAAATCTAAAACAAAAATACACTACAATGAAGCGAAAACACCAACATGTACATTAACAAACAATTTTTTAATATTTTTTTTTTCAACTGACCTGTGATGTTGATCAGCATTCTCGCTATCCCCCGTGGACGTGACAGCTTGGTAGGACTTGATCTCGTTGCTGATCACGAGGTTATCGTGAGTGATCGGTTTGTCCGTCGTCGAGAGTTTGTTGGAATCGATAGGGCTAGATGGAGCAGATATTGCCGCTAGAAAATTATTGGGTTGAACCATTACCACGTTGTAGTTGGATTGATTCGTCGCCATAGTCGCCGCCGGTTCTGAAGGTTCCAGGGGATAAATGGGTACGACTTTGTGCGTCTTTGGTTCCGGGTTCCTCACGATTTTCATACCTAGAAATTAATAAAGATCAATTCCTAAATCAACAGTGTGTTATCGAATGTACGATAAAAGTGATACAGTTGGAATGGGACTTCAAGTGGGGACTAGGCTGTCGAGGTGTCGGGATATCGAGACATGATTACCAATTCACTGATGTTTTTTGCCAGGGCGAACCGTAACTTATTTATTTTTATATATTTTTTTTATATATTTTTATATATTTTTATATATTTTTATATATTTTTATATATTTTTATATATTTTTTATATATTTTTATATATTTTTATATATTTTTATATATTTTTATATATTTTTATATATTATTTTTATATATTATTTTTATATATTTTTATATATTTATTTTATATATTTTTGTATATTTTTTATATTTTTATATATTTTTATATAATTTTATATATTTATTTTATATATTTTTGTATATTTTTTATATTTTTATATACAGTGTTTCTCCTTAAGTTGAAGCCATAAAGAAAACTTTTTATTATTAATTTTGTAAAAAAATTTATTCTTGATTAAAAGTTCTGCATGGTCCAAAACTTAAAATGCAACTTTCAGATATCAATTTTTTTAAGCCGTATACGAGGTTTGTCAAAAAACTGATTTTTATTCATTTTCATACACTTTTATATATTTTTATATTTCTTATATATTTTTTATTTTTTTATGTACAGTGGAGTGTGTCTACTTAAGTTGGAGCTATAATGAAAACTTTTTTATTATTAATTTTGTCAATGATAAAAAAAATTAAGTCATGCCTAAGCGTAGCTATACACTTTTGGAGGCAACATAATACTTTCATTCTTACGAAGCTGATTAATCCAAGAAAAAATTAAATAATTAACAGAACTTAAGAGTAGCTAATAAAATTTGCACACAACAAAACACTTATGCCTTTTACAAAGTTAATTATATAAAAAAGTTAATATAAATAATAGGGTATACCTAAGGATTGCTAAAAACTTTTGTAGGTAACATAATACTTTTAACTGTTACAATTAATAAATTTAATGAATAATGGATAGGGTGTATAAGAGTAGCTAAAGACTTTTGTAGGCAACAATACCCCTCACTGTTAAGTTAATATTTTCAGAAAAAAGTGAATCATTGTCACTAAAAACTATTGCAGGTAACATACTTAGGGCATGTAGACAACATAATTCTTTTTAGGTGTTACAAAATTAGTAAACTACAAAAAAAAATTAAATTAAAAAAATTGACAGGAAAAGACCCTTACTTGTAATTCCTTGCAAAGTCTCGTTACACCTCAAACACACCATATCCTTATAATCACCCGTTTGCGTGCCCACGCTATGGTTACTAGTGTGATGTACGATCCTGACTCCTTTGGCACATGTGCAAGTATCACAATGTTTCATAGCCGATCTCTCGCGTTGCCGCTCCTCCAACACTTTGGCCATGATGGCGGCCGAAACGATATCTACGGGAGGTTGTTCCGGATCGGGTTCCACTTTGCGCTCTGGATTCGGAGATTTCGGTACCGAATAGACCATGGCCGTTGGAGGAAAGGTCGGAATAGGAACTTTGATGCTTTTTATTTCGGGTGGGGGGCGAGGGGTTTCGGGTTTCCGCTTCGCCGTCATGTAGTTGGAAACTTGAGCTTGGACTTCCGAAGGTAGCTACAGAACAATGGTTTCGTTAGTAATAATTCAATCCAAATTTACTATTTAAGTCACTATGATCTGTTTGTAGATCGTTTTTTAGGTGATGTGAGAAACTACAGACAAAACTTGGAAAGGGTTACAATACAATACAAGAATGGAAGAAATGGGTCCAAGAGGAATGGATATCAATCGGACACCTGAAAATGCAGAACGAAATGAGAAAAAAAAGCATAAAGGATTTGCTGCTTGTCCTACTGAGATATATTGAATCCACTAATTTAGAAAAGTTTTCTAGCTGTAGAATGACCTTCTGCAAGCCCATATATGAATCCTATTGAACATACTTCATTAGACAGAAAAGGTTCTAAATAATAATAATAATAATAATAATAATAATAATAATAATAATAATCTTTATTAACCAACAAACGGAAAAGATTACAATAGTTGTTAAAAAAAAAGAATTCAATTTAATAAATAGGTTGGTTAAAAGGCGCCTATTCAGCAAAGCTGTTCTTCCATAAGGACCTATCGCAAAGTAAAACCTAAATTTGTAATTATATATTATAATACCCTAAATAAATAAAAAAAAATACTTATAAAATAACATCTTATCTTACAACATAACCTTTTCTCCTAGATTGTTTTTATAATAATATTTGTTAATAATAACAATATTAATAATAATAATAATAATGATAAAAAAAAGATGTAACAATAATATTATAAAACGGTCATAAAAAAGCTTTCAAAGAATTTTTTTTAGGCTAATACCTACATCTACATCTGCTTATGGCAAAATAACCTCTTTTCGTAGATTGATTTTATTATAATATTAATAATATTAATAATAATAACAAAATCGTATTTATAAAACAAGATATAGGAAAGCTTTCAGAGAAGAAGTTTTAACGGATCTGAAGATAATATCTACATTGCTCTTGAAAAATAGTTTTTTTTAAGTAATATTTAAATGAATTTAGAGATTTTCTTCTTATATCAAGTGACAGTTCATTATACAAAGCGGCAATAGTGTATGAAAAAGATCTTGTAAATAAGGCTGTTTTGTGTTTCGGTATTGTTATTGTATGTTTGTAACGTATGTTAATGTTGTGAACGTCTTCTCTATAAGTAATTTTTCTTGTCAAGTAAGGTGGTTTTTTATCAGATATAATTTTGTGAAAAAACGTAAGAGAATGCAATCTACGTCTATTGGCCATATTTAACCAGTTTGCTGTTATAAGCTTATGACTAATTCGATCGTACTTCCTAATACCGTAGACTAATCTAAGGCAGGAGTTTTGTAATATTTGGAGTTTGTTCTGATCAACGACTCGTAAACATGGTCCATAGACATAATCGCAATAGTTGGCATGCGAAAGTACCAATGACTCTGTCAGTAATAACTTAATTTCTTGTGACAGATATATCCGATTGGCATACAAAAGCTTTAGATTGGAATATCCATTATTTTAAAATATTATTGACGTGATAAGAAAACCTAAGATTTTGATCAATAATAACACCCAAATTTTTCGATTTCTCAATAGGTTTTAGAATATTATTTTTTAGTTTAATTGTAATATTATCTTTTGTTAAACCAAATAATATAATATATGACTTGTTTGAATTTAAATGCAAATCGTGTTTACTAGACTGGTCAACAAGATTTTCCAAATCACTGTTAATTTCATTTTGCAACATTAACAAATTTGTTTTACTACCGAAACGGTACAATTGTGTATCATCTGCATACATGTGCATTTTTGAAAAATTTAAACAAGTAGGAAAATTGCTAGTGTAAATGGTAAATAAAATGGGCCCAAGAATGGAACCTTGAGCTACCCCTCTTTTAATTTCACCTTCGTTTGAGGTGTGTCCTTTATATGTAATTACTTGACGTCTACGATTGAAGTAATTTTTAAACAGATCTATGGCTGACTCATGTACACCTATAAATTTTAATTGTGAAAAAAGCACAGTGTGACTAATTGTGTCAAAGGCCTTGCTGTAGTCCAACAAGATCAGTGCTCCGACATTTCCCTTATCTAGTTCCCTAAAAATGTCATCAGTGATATTTAGCAATGCACTACCACAACTATATCCCGGCCTAAATCCAGATTGCACCTCAGGGAGGATATTATAAGTATCTAAGTGGGTACGAAGTTGAGTTTCCATGACCCTTTCAATTATCTTAGAAAATGTTGGAAGAATGGTGATTGGTCGTATATCTTTTAAATTAGTGGGGTTTTGTATTGCTCCAACAAACCTAACAGAGTTCCCCAACATCTTTTGGCTAAGAATATAACAATTTTATGGGCATTGATCTAGATTATTATATTAACCATGATAATTGATAATTACAAAAAATTTAAAATGGTATTTCATCAAAAAAAAATTTAAATCTGTTATGCAAACTGCAAAATATGAGGTACTTTTTTGTGAAGCGTATTTATCAATTCCTGCATTAATTTAGCTAAATTAAAATAGCAAAATAAGCACTTATCAGCATAACCGAGTAAATTACGTTTTTAAAATATGCAAATAAAACATTTATAGGTGCAAATATTTAAATTTGCTTTAGATAAGAAAGCAACAATTATTATTGTATTAAAAATACGGAATTATTTTTCCGACACGTAGATTTTTAACAAAATATTACTTAAAAAAATAAATAAATCCTTACTCTTACCGTATCATATCTATGAGCTACAAAATTGCTTTGTTTACACTGTAAAAATTGTATTGCTAAACTGACATCGTTCTTATACCTTTCCTGGAAGAAAAAACACAATTACAAAAAATTAATTAACTGAAAACACCCAACATACATTTTCTTCTTTTAATTTCTTTATAGTATAATTAGCATCGGCTAGTTTGTGCGACAATGTGGCAACGTCTTTAGTGAGAGCAGTCTTTTCAGTTTCGCACACGTCTACTAACTTCAATAGTTTATCCTCCAATCCTTGATTGACCCTTTGTACTCTCCTGTGAGCTTCATACAACCTACAATAATTCATCCTAATAGATTTTTACCAAAAAAAAAAGCTTGTTGTGTAGGACAAACTGCTCAGAATATTCAGACAAGGATTAGGAATCATTTGGGTTAAATACATTTTTTATTATATATGATGCTTTGCCCCCTGTAGTTTTCCATATATTTCACTTAAAATATGTAACTTCAAGCTACATAATAATATTAATAATAATAATAATAATAATAATAGAGTTAAGGACAATCATAATACATATAAGTCAATTCTTGAACAAAACAGTGTCAAGGAAAATATATTAATGATCACATGATATTCATTAATTATATATGGTTCTAAATTAATTAACAATTCATGTACTTCCCTTTTAAATACTTATATTTAAATCTTTTTATTTTATCAAGCAGTTTATTGTACAACTTTACACATCTGTACCCTGCTCCATGTTCTGTAACTGTCAACCCATGTATTAGATATACTAGGTTTATATTTCTTAATATATAAGCATTCGTTGGTTCAAAATTTGGAAATAAACCTCTATTTTTAAATAAAAATCTGATGTGTCCAACACATGACTTTCCTATCTAGTTATTATAGGCTTTTTCCGGTTATTTTGTACAACCTATTGCATCACCTCTATAAATGTTTAGAGGATAAACTAAATATATACATTTTCCAGATACATCTACCTCGAAACATTTTTCTATAGATATTCATTGAAAACGAAAATACTGAAAAATTTAAATTTAGCACTTTTCCTACAATTTTTCCATCACGGTCCATTTAGAAAAATCATGTATAAACAAAAATTATAGAGATCGATATCGCAAACAACTTTTAGTTCAACAATTTTCTTAAAAATCAGAATTTTGCACATTTTGTCAAATTTCTCGAATACGGACCATTTCAGGAAAATTTGACGTAAGGCAAAAATTATAGATAATAGTATTAGAAGTAACTTTTATTTAAACAATTTTCTTCTCCAAATATAAATAACAGATAAATTCCATAAAGTACCCCCCAGATGTTCCGACTTTGTCCAAAATCTAATCATTTCACGTCAGTTTAAAAGTTTAAAATTTAACGTTTTTTTCATTATCCGTTTTTGAGTTTTCTTCAAAATTCGAAATATACAAATTTTCTCAAATATCTCGAATACGGTCCGTTTTAGAGAAATTATGTATGAGATAAAAATTATAGAAAATTATATTACAAACAACTTTTATTTGAACAATTTTTATAAAAAATTATTTTTTTACATTTTGTAAAATTTCTCGAATACGGACCATTTTAGAAAAAATTTTTATAGAACAAAAAATATTGATAATAATATTGTAAGTAACTTTTATTTAAAGAATTTTCTTCTCTAAACGTAAATAACAGATATATTCCATAAAATATAAAAATTACCACCTATAAAGTACCCCCCCAGATGTTCCAACTTTGTACAAAATCTAATCAGTTCATTGGACGCCGGAATAAAGCTTAAGTTTAAAATTTGGTGTTTTTCTTTGTATCGGTTCATGAGTTATGGTGGATACAGACACACACACACACAGACATCATCGCGAAAATAGTCAAAACGGATTCAGGGGACCTCAAAACGTAAAAATCCGTCAAAAACTCGAGGTCAAAAAAAATCATGATTCCTATACTTTCCTTATCTGTATACAGATAGGAAAGTAAAAATATTAAGCATTCCTGGATGTATATGCCTATCACAGTTAAGATTTTATTTTCTCTAAATTTACCTCTCTCATATTCAAACTGAGCATAATCCGCATTACTCTTTTTTGCACTAAAAAAAAAAACCCTTTCAATTGAATTATCCCACCATAGAATATTTACCCTATATCTAATTCTGGATTCAAAATTTGGAAAGTATGCCATTTTTAAAGTATCCCATTCCAAATATTTCTTCATAACTCTGATGCTGTAACAGATCTGGCTCAGTTTTGTACATACAAACTCAACATGGCTTTCCCAGCAGTGAAAACTATCAATATATAGCCCCAGAAACTTGGTACTAGTTGAGACCTGTTGTAATTGGTTTTAAGAAGTGCCATGTTTGTTTTGCCCTCATTGAGTATTAATTTATTAATTTCAAACCATTTTTTAGCTTTAGTTATCTCTCTATGCATTTAGGGTTAATTCCATCATATCAGATGCAAATATCCCTCTTTTATTAAACTGACCTGAGGTTCATGATGTTTGATAATAATGAGCTTTTATTAAGGCATCTACTTTCTAGTCAATAAATTTTTTATAATCAATTTTTGTTAGTAAATAATAAAATGGGACAATTGGTTGTGGAGGTTTTATGTGATTTTGAAGTAATAAAAAAAAAACAATTGGTTAAAGGTTATCAGTGATTTCCTGTTGTGAGCGCTTATCTATACATTCCATAACAAATATCTCCCTTCAAATGTATAAAGGCAGTTTTTTTTTCGAATACATAGATACTTCTATATTTAAACTGAAATATGGTCAATATTTAATATTATAACATTAACATTAACAGTTTTTATCAGGAACTAATAGAACAGACAACTGAACCAAAATCTACACATATTAAATAATGTGATTATATACACTCAATGGCAAGAAAAAGGAGCATTTATTTATTGGTTCTTTATGTTTTATAGTTGTAATAACTTACACACAAAACAACATTTTTTAGGTAATTTTTATATCTAAATGTGCAAGTGTTCCTTATTTCGTGCTAGTGAGTGTATAAAAAAAAGTATGGGGAAAAAAATTAAATCTATTTGACCAAAAAAACAATTACAAGCATTTTAATTGGGTGGCCGACTACTAAAACAGTATCCAAATAAGCACTTGCTAGTTGTCAGCCACAACATTATTTCTCTATTTTTATGCATTTTTTGCTACTCTAGACCATGTCTGAACATCCAAAGAAAAAAATCCACATGTATTTGGAGGAAAACTAAAAAAGGGCTACAGAAAAGGTTAAAAGTGGTGCCAAAATAAGTGATATATAGGGTTCCTTAGGGTTCCAGATTAAGGGATGTGTTAATGAAAAACCCTTGAAAGATTGGTCCAGTCCTGTTTAGAAGATAGTTAACTGGTTAGTTCAGTTTTGTTTTTTTTTTAAGTTTGTTTTCGTACATTTATTTATTTATCCTTATGTATTTTTTTAATAAATTATAAAAAAAACATCTTTGTTTTCAATTTTGGTTATTATTACCCACTTCTCTCATTTTTACAAAGAACATGTGATTGAATGAGAACGTTTTTAGTTTAAATTGTTACAATAAAATTTGTAAGTAATAATATCCTTACCTTTTGTATTTATCCTGCCAAGTTAGTAGCTCCTCTTTAAAGGAAGACAGTTCTCCACTGGGATACTTATTGGCTTCATTCAAGAAATTTGTCTCCATTGTAACAATATGGTTCTCTTTTTCCATCAATCTCTGTTTGAGATTCTCGATTTCTAGATGAAGATGAACATCATGATCTTTGAATATGCATTTTTTGCATGTGCATCCACAATCCTTGAATGTTTTAAGAATTGGAATACAACAAATTGGATAAAAGTATGTTTAATATAAATGGTACATAATGAGATCTACAGAGTTAAATTGAAGCAATTAAAAATGATAAAATGGTACACAATGAGTAAAACAGTGATAAGAATTGTTTAAAAAAAATAAAAAGAATTTATACGTTTTTTACCTTGCATTTGTTAGCCATAGCTTCGTTAAAATAAGAAAATAAAGCAATACTGTTTTTGGAAGCACCTTTTTCTCATAATCTCGGGAAAACCAAACGATTTAGTTCTTCCCCATTAAATTATCTTGACGAAATCCAAATAATCACTCCTTAAAACGAAAATTACACAGTTGATTAGTTGCTGTTGCAATTGTGAGACGGACTGTGGCGATAAACGTGCTTTTTACAATTGGTACGTGTTTTTTGTTGAGTTTAATTTGTACAAAAGCAATTTTCACTTCCAAAGTGCTGCTAAAGGTGACAACTACGTGACAGCAGCAAAACAACTGGTTGTCAGAAACAGAAAAACATGACGTGATTCACCAAGGTTGCGAATGGAATTTCCTTGTTGCGTTAGCGAAACTCTACGTCAGACAATATAAATACACTTGCGTAAATGAGGTTGCATAAGCCGTAGGCGTAGGTGAATAAATTCGATAACTAAGATAGTTTATCTTAATTTTATTTAAATACATATAAAATAGGCATTCGAAGTAATTTATCTGTATACGGTTAACTGTAGATACCGAAGACTACACTATCTCACTCAGACAACTAGAACCAGTAACGTTGTATTGTACTTCTATACTTTCGTAATATTGGTTGCATAACATGGAGGAAAGACTGAAATACGAAAAAAATTCAATATTTTTTGAATCATGTATTCATTTTAGAATACAAATTACCAATATTTGCTCTTGCAAACTGTTTATAACCTACGGCCATTCATATGTTTGCATTCATGGGTAATTTAAATTTATAATGGAAAACCATAGGCGTCGACTGCGAAGGGCCAGGGGAAAACTCTGGGGAGTCTCCTACAAGGAGAAACCAATTTATATAAATATAAAATGAAAATATATTGTGTTATCTACCCATACTATTTTTAATAATAAAAAAATGTATTTTTCGTCTACTTATCACTTTTATACGGCTCCTTTGTTTCACTTTTTCCAATCATCATTTGGTAGTACATCCCTAGCGTTCAATATATTTACCGTTAGCTGATGTTGTTGGCTGACAAGGCTAAAGGTACTCGTTCGATAGTTGCTGCAGCGACAGGCTGCAGCTGCAAGGCGGCCGAGGCAAGAGGCAAGCGACCGAGACAGAGCAGGAGACACTTGGAGGACTCGTTCGTAGCATGCGACAGAATGACAGATCAGTACTTATTTTACTGTTGAGAAAGGTGCATCTAGAATGTCTGCCGAGAATAAAATTATTAAACAAATTTTATTAGAGGAAGAGGAAGATCAGGATTTAATATTGTACTATTTATACAAGAAAAGCAAAAGAGCTCCAATACACTCCTTATTTAAAAAAAGAAAAACAGAAGGCTATTTTAAACTGTTAATTTTACAGCACCTACAAGGCGATGAATATTTATTTAGAAAATATTGCAGACTGAATAAAACTCAATTTTATTTTGTTTTAAGTTTAATTGAAAAAGACATGCAGCCAAAAAAATTGAGAACGAAAATTACAACTGAAGAAAAACTCTTTATTACTTTAAGGTAAGTCAAAATAAATAACATAAAAAATTATACATTTAGTGAATATTTCAATTCATGTGCCACATTGAGATATCTGTGTAGGTATGTTCGTTTGTCGATGGTGTTGAAATTGATGCCTCTATTGGGAAAGATATTGAATAACTGAAGTCAGATACTGAACTTTGTGGACGGATTGCGTCAGAAGGAGTCATTGACATAAGTTCATACTTACTCATAGTGTTAAATATTTCTGTTTTAGCTTTAATCATTAAAATTGGGGGTAACTTTTTGAGTACAGCTTTAATATGTTCTCCAAAGGAATTGATGCCATTTTCATCTCCATTATTATCATTATTTTCTTTATTGCTCAAATTTTTAAAAATCGTTTGTCTTTGGGTATCCCTTTCTTTTAGATAATGTAGGAATTCATCTTCTTTGGTTTGCCGTTTCCGCTTTCGAGTTGGGACTTGTTTCGAAGTATTTTTATTTTGTTGTAAAACTTGTGTTTCGTCCTGAGATTCGTTCACAATCGTCGATTGGGTTTCATTGTCAGCAGTATCTATATCACCACCATCAGCATCGTCATCATTTATATTAATATTGGTTTCGTTCTCATCATTCCCATGGTTGTCGTCATCATCTGAAACAGCAGGTACATTCGACATAGTGTCTTTATGAGATGATGTTTCTAAAAAACTTAGTCTAGCATACACCTCCCATTTAGAATTTTTAGATTTAGCAGCACTTCCTGTCCCTGCATGTCTTTTCCGTTTATATCTGTTGTAGGAGTCTTTAATGCACTTCCATCTTTTTTTACAATCGTCCCCTAAAATGGAAACTAACTTTTATTTTTTTTTTAGATTTATGGCAACTGGAGAAACTTTTGTGTCTTTATCTTTTGCATATCGTATATCTGACTGTTATATTTCAAAGATCGTTAGAGAAGTTTTAAAAGCATTGTGCAAAAACCTTGTATCAGTTGCAATGCCAACATTATCTGAACAGGATTTTTATAGAGTTTCCGCAACATTTTGGAATAAATGGAATGTACCGAACTGTGTAGGAGCAATAGATGGGAAACACATTCGAGTTAAATCGCCAGAAAAAAGTGGTTCATTATATTTTAATTATAAGGAATATTTTTCAATTGTGCTTTTAGCCGTTGTAGATGCGGACTGCAAATTTATTGCAGTTGATATTGGTTCGTACGGAAAAGAAGGAGACAGTAATATATTTAGAAGATCCGCTATATGCCATCGAATAGAATCAAACAATTTTAATATACCTGAAGAAAAATGTCTTCCAGGGACTAATATTTATATACCACATTTTTTAATTGGTGATGAAGCATTTGGAATTGATTCCTACATGATGAAGCCATATCCTCGAAAAACTGCAAAACACGACAATAAAAAAGAAATATATAACTATCGCATTTGCCGCGCTCGCAGAGTTTCGGAAAATGCATTTGGTTTATTAAGCCAAGTTTTCAGAGTCTTTTATACACCCATATCAATTAAACCTGAAACTTGCAACGAGTTGATAATGGCAGCATGCTGCTTACATAACCTTTTACGTAACGAATATTTACAAAACAATAATAGTGGCGGATTTCAGTACAACGAGAAAGAAAATCCACCCAAATTAAATATGGCTCCTTTAAACCATTCTGGCGGGTTCGCTAAGCGAACGGGTTTATGGGTCAGAACTCAGCTTACAGAATACTTTTTAAGCGAACACGGAAAATTGTCCTGGCAAGAGCAACATATCTTCAATAAAAAAGACTAGGAACAGCGTTCCATACCACTCATTTGAGATTTATATTTGTAGAAGGATTTAAAATTTAATTACTTTGTATGTCATGTACCATGTCTATATGTTTATTATAATTCATAATTAAATTGTAAGACAGATAAATTGACAAAAGTTACTTTATAATTATAATATGCATTATGATTTTGCTTTATAAATCATTTAAAATAAAAGTACATACCTGTTCGTTTTAATATTGCTCCTATTTCTTTCCAAATATTTTCCCGCTTTACAATATCTTTGTAACTTTCTAGTTGAAGGTCGTATAAAGTTGGGTTTTGCTCAACTAAATCTATAAGTAGATCATCTTCTTCCCCTGAAAATACTGACGACTTTGATTGCGATGGCGTATTTTTCACTATTTTATCCAAAGAAGCCATTGCTTGATAATAGCACAACAATACTTATTACAACGATTGCTGCAGAACGACTGCCTCCAGACCGGTCTTGACGCTGACGCGCGTCCAAGCAGCAGAGACAGGGCGAGACACTTAATAAGCTAGTTGCTGCTGCAGCGTGCATCGAACGGTAAATCATTAGATTTCATTAGAACAGTAGTGTCTCTGCCTCTTGCCTCTGCCGCCTGCAGCTGCAGCATGTCTCTGCAGCGACTATCGAACGAGTACCTTAAAAGTTGTAGCGGCTTGAATTCATAAATCGGGCGCTCAAATTGGGCGATGTCACTCATACTTCTACCCAGACAGCACACCAAATCCTTTGGATATCTACTGAACATCCCAATATCCACTGAATGTCCAGTCCATGGTGGATATCTATTTTATATCCATGAAATGTAATTTATAGACATGCAAATGTCCATAAATAATAGTAATTATATAGCAAATTATTAAAAAATTACGTCATTGTGGCTAAGATATTTAAAATTAATTTTTTTAAGGTGTATTCAATATCCCATGGACATCCACGAAATATATCAAAGTCTAGGCGCGAACGCAAACCATCGTGGATATCCTCTAGATGTTATTTGATTTTGCTTACTAAGTATAGATGGCGATACCACTTTCACGTCTACTCATGCTCGACCCGCCGTAATTGAGTTCGATCGAAATTTGTGTTCTAATCAGACTCCATTAGAGACTGGTGTCGAGAATTTCCATTAATTGTTGAAGAGTTCTAATAAGGATGACTTTCTCCTTAGTGGGCATGCAAAATCAAAGGCAGAGTGTTGAAAATATTTTGAGTGTTGAAAATATTTTTTATCTCTGCTATTTTCTTTCGACGTTATTCAATAATCATTGGTTACTTATGAACCTCTACTAAAGATAAAATATTTTGCTGAATATCCGAATATCTTCTATATCCTGGGATATAGACGGACATTTGGTTGGATATCCATATTGGATATATTGAATATCCACAAAATATATTCTATGGATATCTCTGGGATTTCTTGTATTTTCTTGAAGATACCCATTAGATATTTTGCTGGATATCCATTAGGATATCTTCTATATTCTGGATATAGACGGACATTTGGATATCCATATTAGATCCACGGAATATTTCTGATATCCTGTGGATATATTGGATATCCACAAAAGATATTCTGTGGATATCTCTGGGATTTGGTGTGTTGTCTGGGTAGGCGTTCAGCCATAACTACGACATAAAACAGACGTCTTTAAGATGTCGTGTGCTGTCTGGGATGAGAGAGGTGGAGAGAGAAGCATTAAGTAAGCGATATGGTTATATTAAATTTGTTGTTTTCAAAACTTTCAATTATTACATTAAATGGACGAGTTGTTTGGAGTTATATATAATTATCCATTGACTGATTGGTTTAGTACCCAAGACAGGGCTAGCCTGATGTATTAATGTAACATGTTGGATGCATTTCCAACACTAATGCTATCAATTTTCCACGTTGGGCGCCAAATCCATATGGAACTCGTATCATCTGACTCGCGACAAAAAACTACTCAGAATAGAGCTTCTATGAGGTGAGGCGACAAAAGAGGGCCAACTACAATCATAGGTGTAACGTATAAAATTACAAATTTGATCAACTGTACCGTATTTTATTAATCCAGCTTCTTTTTTTCTTCATCTGGATTGAATTTGGATGAAGCACATATGCAATACAGGGTGTTATTGAAATACACGTACATATTAAAACTGGGTATTGCGCAGATCCCCACTGAATGTAGAAAAATATTATTTTTTTTAAATACCCCTTATTAAGGGAGTTATTAATTTTTGAAAATTAATTCTAAAACAAACGTACTTCACTGATATGTTGAGGATGACCTATATAAATTAGGTTTATTTACCTATTTTAAACATCAACAGTAATTAATATGCAAGTTTTTGTCAGATGATAAGAAAACTAGTCTTGTAAGAAATAACCATGTTGCCAAGATTTTCGAATTAATTTCTATTTCCGAAGACTGGTTTTTACTACCCTCGTTATCAAAAAACTAGAATATTTGATAAATGATTGTTTTTAAACTATACATTTTTGAAACTATAGATTATTAAAATTTTAGTTGATTTACGAATCTGGCTAACACGAGCGCGTCATTTCCAAGTTGGTAAAAAGTGTTGTTACGATTACTTTTAAATATTTTTTTACGATGCCACTATTTACGAATATTGAACTAACGGATATAGTGCTGGTTTATGGGGCAGCTGGAGAAAATTCTCGGCAAGCACAAATCCTGTATCGCGAACGGTTTCCAAATCGGAGAATTCCGGACTGTCGTACGTTTATTTCAACTGTTCAGCATCTAAGAGACCATGGAAAATTTGAGAGTGTCAATGCAGATCGAGGGAGAACAAGAACACAAAGAACATTGGCGGCCGAAGAAGAAATATTGGAAGCTGTTGAAAACCGGCCTCAATTAAGTTGTAGAAGACTAGGTCTTGAAATTGGAGTGTCCTCATGTGTTGTGTGGCGGACACTTAAAGAACAATGTTTACATCCTTATCACATCCAAAAAGTCCAGGCCTTATATCCAGGTGATGAAGAAAAGAGAGTGGAGTTTTGTGAATGGATGATTCAAAAATGTGTTGATATTCCTGATTTTCTAAAAATATTATTGTATACTGACGAGGCTTCATTCACTCGTGATGGCGTGTTCAATATGCACAATACGCATATTTGGAGTGATGAAAATCCTCACGCCATTAGGGAAACTGGGCATCAAAGAAAATTTTCAATAAATGTTTGGGCTGGCATAATAGATCAGTATTTAATCGGGCCTTATGTTCTCCCGAACAGATTAAATGGGCCAGGATATCTCCACTTTTTAGAAGATATTTTGCCAGTACTCCTAGAAGAGATACCGTTACAATTAAGGCAACGGATGTGGTACCTACTAGATGGCGCTCCTCCTCACTTTGATTTAAACGTACGGCAGTTTTTGAACATTAGATTTCCTCAAAAGTGGATAGGCAGAAATGGACCTACTAAGTGGCTTCCGAGATCTCCGGACTTAAATCCATGCGATTTCTTTTTGTGGGGTCACATGAAACAACTGGTTTATAATGAACCTATTAATAGTGTTGAACAATTAACCAATAAAGTTAATGCGGTAGCCGAGGAACTACGACAAAATCCAAGACTAATTTCTAATGTTCAAAGTTCTTTGGAAAGACGATTGCAAGTGTGTGTAAATAATAATGGACGGCATTTTGAACAATTACTGTAATAAACTTTATTTTGAATTAATTGGTTTTGCTACGGCAACAGTGCAATTTCTATGGGTAAGTTCAATTTCGATTTATTTTACTTCTTTAAATATGGAAACTAGTAGGTCGGAAAAGGGGACTCTTCCCCAATATTTCAATTTTAGAATTTGAAGTTAAAATTGGTGCCAATCGTTTTTGGTCACGACATACTATTCCCCATTTTAATATGTACGTGTATTTCAATAACACCCTGTATATTTAAAGTTGTGTTATTGGAAATTATTGCTTATTAACTTACTATTTTTGTACTAAGAGCTCCAAATCATTGTGGATCCATAGGTACTATTGTTGGAACAAATAAAGTCAAATTTGAGTTTATCAATATTTTATTGTTAACATAACAAATGACAATAGTAAAAATTAACAATTATATTCTACAACAATAATCGGAATGTAAGTATACAATATAGGTTATGGTTAAAATTGACAATTTTTAGGTTTATATAGGTATTATATTTTTTGGTGTAATTACTAATCTTTGGCTGGGTGCTGTATATAATTATAATAGAGGATTTGTCCCCAATTACCTACGGATTTTAATGACAGAGAATAAAAGGTAAATATAAAATTTCTTTTCAAAAAATCTATTCCATTACTGATTAATATTATTTATCTCCATGTAATTGAATAAAGGGGCACCTGTTTGTGGTGTATATTCGAAAAAGAACGCATCACTAATAGAAAATTGATAATATTTTAAAGGGTAAGTACCTATAAGGACGATTTAGGCCTTTTTTATGACGGCCATGAAATTGGTACAACCTCAGAAATAACTATTTTAAATCATATTTATGCTTGATATAAAAAATCAATCAAGTAATTTAATATAAAAATCTTTTGAGTGTAATTTATTTACTAAATATACATAGTAAGGGAGGAAAGTTAAATTATGTATTATTTGCGCACAAATTAGTGCTATTTTTCACAAGTGACGCTATCTTGAATTATTTTATTGACTATAAAGTTCATGTTACACATCATTTGAAAGATCTTGAAACCCTGATGACCGAAATGTAAGTACTTGGTGCGTTCTTTATTTGCAATACTTAGGTTTACTGTTTTTTTACTACTGCACGAAAACGTAGGTACAAAAAAATTTATATTTACATTAGACAATCACTCACAGATACGTTTCTAGATTGTAATAAGTACCAAAACAGTCTTAATCCATTAAATCACTTTCCGTTTTCATTTTCAGTACGTTTTTTGAATTACAAATTTAAAAATTCGAGCTCGATTTTTCGAAAAAATTCGATAAGGGAAGGATGATATATTAACGCTAGATGTATATTTTTACTATAAGTCATAATACTGGTAATATTTTGTTTAAATAGGCAATATATACCAAGAAATAGAATATCAGTACACTATCGTGGAGAAAATTTATGAAATATTTTAAACGATCAATTATCACAAATAGGAAGGACATTTTTTAAATAGACATATAGTTAAATATTTGACAATTTTATCCCCGAATGTGTTTAAATAAATGCGAAATTCTAAAAAACAAATAAAATAATATGTAAATGGAAATGCTTTTTGCATAAAGCATAAGTTTAACTCTAAGATTATTCTTTGGCGTATAAAAAATATGGAATATTATAAAGTGAAATGCACTTTTTTGGGACTCTTCAGTCGTCAAGATTTAGGTCTAGGCACGTTTTCTACGAATTTTCCAATGCAGTTGCCTCTTGGATTATAGTTGGCAACCACGTACGTTTGTCCTTTTTTATTTTTGGCCATACCTAAAAAATTTTTTTATTATTTTCGCAAAACAGTAAAAAATATTTCAATTTGCCGCAAAATTTATTGCATTTTAATTTGTACGTGTGAAATAATATACAGGGTATCCTACGGGTGAGTTTTTACGGTATTTCGAAAACTAGAAGGTACAAGAAAAAAAAATTAAAATATATTAAGGTTTATATTACTTTTATCAATCTAGCCGGATGCTTCAAAAAATTAATGTACGATACTAAACTTGTCTTCAGCGGATATATCAAAAGTTCCTTTGTACTCTTTTTTTTTAAATAAAGAATTTATTTCACCCAGTAGTAGTCTCCGACAATCTCGAAAACCACTTAAGATCATTGAATACGGTTCGAAACATTGTCGTGCCTTGGAGATAATGCTAACAAGCATTAAAATGTTCGACAAATGGCGACAAAATTATCAAAGATATGACTTGGACACGAAGGAGCTTACTGCCATCTATTGTCTATTGCTACTGTCCATTGTCCTCCAAGATAATTTGTATTGCAATTGTTCTACTATAATATATAAATACAATGGAATAATTCTCGTAGGAAGATTGTATTGTGAAGTTATCGATCCCTTCTTGGGGTTAGGCGTGAGCACATTCTTCTTTCTTACGCTGCTGATATCTCTGCCAACACTTCAAACTTCAAACCTTGTATATTGAATGTGCGTCTAAGAAATTAACACGTGTGCCAGTATCTGTATCTGTAACGTGTGGAGGGTGAGTTAACCCACAGCTCTTAGGCCTTATGTTGCCTTTCTAAAGTGTATCTTATCAGGTTTTAGAAAAGGATATAGTTGCACTACATCACTTCTAAAAGTCACTGATGATATCCATAAAGCCTGCGATGATAATTTATTGACTATCTTAGTCCTTCTCGATTATTCAAAAGCATTCGATCTTATTAACCACAAACTCATACTAGCGATCGTGCATTATCTTGGATTTTCAAGAAAAACTGCCGCCTTAATGAGTAGTTATTTGGATGAGCGAACTCAAGTCACCGTGTTAAATAAAACAATTTCTGAATTTTTAAACATCTGCTCTGGGGTTCCTCAGGACTCAATTTTAGGACCTCTTCTATTTGTCATCTATACATCACAGCTGCCACTTGCTTTAAAATACTGTGCATCTCATACTTATGCAGACGACACTCAACTATACCTTTCCTTTGAAAAGGAAAATATTCAAGAAGCTTGCGTAAAAATTAATGCTGACCTCATCTCTCTTGCTAGACTTTCTGACAAATATTGTTTAAGTATAAATCCAATTAAATCCGTAGTCCAGTTATTTGGACGTCCTACAGCTAGAAAAAAGATTATTAATTATGTGAACATTAGCTTGGATGGTCAACAACTGCCGCTTCTTTCATGTGTTAAGAATCTAGGTATTCATATAGATAATTCACTTCGCTTCTCGTCTCATGTGACAAATATTGTAAGAAAATCCTATAGTAGTTTAAAACTCCTACATGCAAATAAAAGCATATTGAATAAACGAACTAAAGCCATGTTATGTGATTCTCTTGTCCTATCTCACGCCAATTATGGCGATGTGGTCTATTCACCAAGTTTGTTAGGTGTTGATAAAACTCGCTTACAAAAGATACAAAATTCGTGTGTACGTTTTATTTGTGGACTTTACAGACGTGATCATACTAGTCAACACTTAAAGGAACTGGGTTGGCTTAATATGGCGGAAAGAAGAACATTGCATGCATGCTCAATGTTTCGCAAGATTATGGTACCTCTAACACCTGCTTACTTATATAATAAAATTCAATTCCGCACTGACGTCCACAACCTTAACATTCGTTTTAAATCTAAACTCACGCCGCCTTTACACAAAACAACCTTATATCAAGGATCTTTTTCATATTATATTTCCTGGCTTCTAAATGGATTACCGCTTAGCTACTCTAAATTTTCTCTTGGTAAATTGAAACATACATTAAAAGAAGACTTTTTAAATGGCAAACTGCACAATATCATTAAGTAATACGATAGGATAATTTTATTATATAGCATAATTTCATTATATACGTTTTTCCGTTCTTCTATTAGCAATTTCTCACCTAATATAAATTGTTTTTCATTATTTTTGTTTGTTATACTATGCCAAGTTTTGTAACACCCTAGTTAAGATTATATGTATTTTAAGTTAATACCTATTATTTTAGATATATTTTTAGTATTAGTTTTTCTTTTTCCATTTTTTTTTTATTGAGGTTGAGTGGAAGAGCAGCTTCTATATTTGCTTATGCAAATCTGAAAGCTGAACTTTGCCTTTTGGCTAATTATTTTTAATACATTATACTATTTTAATTTTGTAATTTTCACATGCCAATAAAACCATATTTATTTATTTATTTATTTATTATAGGCCCATTCTGCATCTTCCTAACCGGCATCTCCTAGCTCTTAAGCCAGCCTACAGGATTTATACTCGGTATTCCTTAGTTCAAGAAATACACGACTTCGCCATGACTACTTTTTTTCTATATCTTCTAGTTTTCGAAATACCCTGGAAAACTTTCCAAATTTGGTACAGTTATTACAATGTTTTCGGATTATCTCGAAGCATCAACAACCAAAAAATAAACATCCTGTATCTCGAAACTTTAGTATTAACCGGTTTAGGTTTTTATTTCTTTTTTTTCCTCCATTTGCAAAAGCTGTTCTGTAAAACGTGAATTAACTCACTCGATATTTATAATAAATGGCTTAGTTATTCATTGGGATCGTAGAAAAAGCATAGTACCTAACTTACGTTGTAAAGAAATTACATTTATAATTGGCGCGTTGAAAGGTACCTTTGCTGTTCTCCCACTTAATACACATGCGATAAAAATGTGGCTAGTAATGTTTCGAAGTAGTTTGGCGTATAGCCCCTCTCAACTTACAAGTGTCCCTTTCAAGTAGCGAATAAAGTCTAATTAATGTTGCAAATATTACTTACCTACTCCCACTTCTCTACTAGCCTTCCAAACGACTTGTGTAAAATGCAGCGTCGCCATATTTACTTTCTCCACCCCATAGCTATGTCGTTTAGATTCGTCGTACCATTCTTTTATTGCGTCCCTTGCGCTAGGAGTGTGGCTGTAATCTGATGAATAAACGCAGAAAATATTTTCACCGTAATTTGAGTTTGCTCTGTGCTGTAGACTGGCTGTTTTTGCGCATGTGTCTGCCCATTCTTGGGCATACTTGCAAAGCTGAAAATAAAATAAAAATCTAATAAATCACAGAAGTTCTCTATTTGGCATAAGTCGTAAAAGAAACCTCCAAAAGAAATTTGTTTCTGTTTTCTAATAATAACGCGCGCGCATTGACATTGACAGCTGATGTCATCAAAATTTGATCGATTACTTTTTCAGAATTTAATTATATTATCCTCCCAGAGGCCCTAATAAATAATCAGGACTCCTTAAAATAATTAGGTTACTAACCTCTTCACTTAGCATTAGATCCGGTACTCCATGCTTCCTCCTGTACTCGTTATGAACTTTCAAAGCGTCTATAGCAAACTGATCGAAGGTCCCTTGTGACGTACCGGCTACAGGCGATTTATCTGACGATCCTGGACTGCTTGCCATTTTCTTAGGTAACTGCTGACTGTAAAACGCCGGTTTGACAGGAGGGACATTTTCGACGTAGTGTCCAACGAAGTTACCAGCCGGTGAATAGTTAGCAACGACGTAGATACTTCCTTGAGAGTTTTTGGCTACGCCGACTCCAAGGAATTCACTGGATTTCCAGATGACTTGAGAAAAGTGACCGGACTTGAGATTGCTTGGCTCTTTACCGAACGGATGCTGAGAAACTTCTTCGTACCACGTATCCACAGGAGAATGCCCGTTGATGGTGAAATTAGGATCTGATGAGTACAGGCAATAAATGTTCTCCCCATAATTACTACCAGGTCTGTGCTCCAAGATATTCTTTTGAGCTAGATACGAAGCCCATTCCTGGCTGTATTTACATAACTTCTTATCTAATTGTAACGGTGCTACACCATGTCTTCTCCTATACGAATTATGCGCTTCTAAAAAGTCCTCTTCGAAGTTTCCTTCGGTGACGTTTTGGTGCAATTTTTGGCTCGGCGATCTAGGTACGCTTAAAGATAGTTTTTCAATATCGCTAGACAGATCTATGTGATTGTTGTTGGTCTGGAAGCCTCCCAGAGGTGGTACGTTTTCCGCAAAATGGCCTATTATGTTTCCGGCTGGATAATAGTTGGCTACTACTATTATTTTCCCGCCAGATTTGGCGAAAGCTACTCCCAGTTCTTTTGAATCTTTCCACACCACCTGCAAATGAATTTAATAAATTTATAGGCACTCCAAGGGTCTGTTTTAGGCTTCTTTATATATCTTATCTGGGCATATTGACTACTCTCATATTTTTATCAATTGTTAACAAAGTAAGTAAAAGAAAAAGATGGAGAGTAAAAGAAGCATTCATATATTTCTAGAAAACATTCTATACTGTAGAGACATTGACACTAATCAACGCCTAGAAGAAGCTCATTAAAACACTATATCTTTATCAATCATAGCAGGTAACAGGTAGGTTTCGATATAGCTCAGATATAGTTTTTTGGAATTCTTAAATTGATTTTAAATAGTAAGAATAAGTTAAGGTTAGTTAGATGTTATTCATGATTGGGGAGTTCAATTGATAAGAAGTTTAGGATAGTTAGGTAGTTGATTATATATTTGATATTCACATTTAATTGTGAGATGGGTGGTTTAATTTATTATCAGTAGTAAGAAGTTTGGCTAATCAATAATTGAATATAAATACGTAGAAATATAATACTATTTCTGCCTCTTCCACTAATAATCGTTGTGGAATCCCATCAGCAACCAGTGTACCATAAAACTCTATTAATGTTTGGACCAAAAGTGTAGGGGAACCAAGAGAAAATGGATGGAGTAGAAGTGGGTTAAGTGGTTTTGATAGACAGAAAATAGTAGGGAACCTGTCAAAAAATGAATACTATGGCAGCCCAATATTCATATAGGATTCTAGAGAAAAGTACCATCTCCAAAGATGAAAAAAACTTTTCCTAAAAGTAATATTATTACAGAACCTACCTGTGTAAAATGACCAGACGATAAACTATTGGGTTCTACACCAAATTTGTGGCATTTGATCTCTTCATACCAATTTTCTACGGCTTTTGTACCATTAATAGTGAAATTCGGATTGCTGGATTGAATACAAAACAAATTTTCTCCGTAATCTCGGTTGTTGCTGTGTTGCAAAACGCTTTTTTTGATAAGGTTGTTGGCCCAATCTTGGCTCACTTTGCACATTTCTTTGTTTAATTTTAACGGTGGGACGCCGTGTCTGAGCCTGTACTCGTTGTGGGCTTGAAGGCACTCGTGCTGAAAGTCCATTTTTGTATTTTTTTTCTGGAAATTCAAAATTAGGTTTTTTCAAACATTTTTTTAAGCAACTGAGTTGTATAAAAGTAAATAGGGCTGATTTCGGTTATTAGAGCTGGTTTGAGTAGTGGCGGGATAATGGAGAAAATTTCAGAAGAGTAGAAACCATCTGTAGTATAGACAGAATGGTAAGCAACTACTTGAAAATGTCCAATTTTGTAGTAGATATGCTATTTAAATAACTACAGAAAGATCGACATTATAGGCCATAACCGACAAAGACAGAGACTACTACGAATGGCATTACATTAAATGCTGACATTTGAAAAGAAGAAGAATTGTACACACCAATAATAATCCAGGACGGTTAATAATAAAACTAATTTGATTAAGACGTCAATAAATTAATTTTTTAAAGATAGAAACCAACCAAGGCCTATAATTCGTAAATATAATAATTAATTGGCACCTAGAACGCAGTAAAGAGAAGAATATATAGTATGAGGAAAAGTACATGTTTGTCCTCAATAATCCTAATTATTATAATTTTTTGAGTATTAATGTTAAAAGAGAGATCGAATTGTTTAAAAAGACTGGGACAATTAGTATACAAAGTGACGTAAGATTATTATTTATGATATTTATAGCTTTTATTTACCATTAACAATACGTTTATTGTTGGAAAATATTATAATATTAATTGTACTGATAAGAGTTTAAAAAACACATTACATTGTTGAAAGTAAAGAGGGAACAACCGATTACAAGGAAATAACAATTTCAAAATCATCATCATCATCTCATTATATTATAAAATATAAATGCACTTGGCAAAAACGAGGCGAAAGATTCCAGAAAAATACCATTGTAAACCTAATAAAATTAGCCTTTTGTAGATAGGTACATCTGATCATAAAGATAACTAAAAAAAATAATAGTAAACAATAATTCAGATTATAATGAAAATTGACAGTGATGTGCATTAAGTACTACTAAACAATGACGCATTGCTTAGGATTTTCTGATTTGCAAAACTGGAAAAATGTTTCATCAACTAGTAGACATACAAAGTAAAGTTAAACAAATTATTATTATTCTGGTGTGTTATAGTAAATTCACTTTAAAGAAAAGTCCTTATTGATATCTCACAGATTTATCCTTATATCCTTAGCGTGCAAAATCAAAGCCAGACAGTTGCTGTTTTTCTCAGGCTATAATTCAATATCTGTTGTGGTATTAGCCAAAGAAGTACTTGTTTTTCGGATAAAAATGGTAGCGCCTATTATTTTGTGATATGTCTTTTTTATGCTATTTTTTTACATCTTTTACATATTTGAATTTAGAAGTATTTTCTTTTTTATATATTATGTAGGTACTAGATAATATAGATCAAATTTAGCCCTTACCTTAACGTTAGGCTTTTTGCTATTTTTAGCTTCTCTATGAGTTAGAGCTTCTATGATATCTTGAGGGCACTTTTCTTCTGTATCCTTTTTTTCAGTGGTGATTTTGCATTCCGTTCTTTCACCTCTGAATGTTTCGATTGTCTCTCGTGTGATTGTTTCCAATTTTGGTTCCTAGAAAAAAAAATTCAATGAAAAAATATCGGTTAATTATAATCTTTAAAAATAAGGACTTCTATCGGAAATAAACTACTTTTGAAATATATGTTCGTAAAATTACATTAAATTGAAAGTTTTAAATTGATTTTGAATTTGGCAAAACACGTCTTTTATTTTCTGTTAGATATTCCTCTTATCCGTGACATCATTTGTGTAAGTGTGATGACGTAATCAATAACATTTTAAACAGAAATGTGGTTCATGCGATACATCATTTGAAAGGTTATTTCATTATCTATCAACATTATCAATAATTTAAAGTAATTAAGGTGTTTAACTCTTTTTATCAATCCCAATCCAAAATTGAAAACAAATTTAGAGAAAATGGCCATGAAAGAGACCTCCATAAAGACAGTAGACAATATATAGTAGAAAATAAGATTTTCTACTATCGTTTGAAGAGAATACTCATAACAGTTTATTTGATTATAACATCAACCATTCAAAAGATCATAAAACGTTAAAAAAAGAAAAGTGACATTCGTATAAAGTTACTTTAGTTAAGGAACTCCAGGAAGATGAAGTGGATTGTGTGGTAGATGATACATCCCTATCGAGTGACATAATATTGTGGCTACTGCTAGAAAGCAAGACTATATAGAGGAGATATTTATTCGAGATTCTAGACTGATAATAAATGCAACTAGGTGTAGCTAGAGTTGGTTAAACGTTTTAATTCTAAAACCCTCGTAGGAGGACCATATCCAATCCAATGTTTATCATTTGAAAATGTACCAAATTTCATGTGATTGTTTTGTATCGTTTCCATAAATTTTTCCAGCAAGTCAACCTTGTTGCACAATTTAGAAAAATTCGAACCCCATTCACTTGGTGTTATTCATCTAATTCTTGCTTTATCTTTTTTTGGAAGTCATTCGTGCTATAAACTATTTTATAATCCTTAATTATCTGATAAGTACCAGCATTATTATTATACAATTGCTGTAATTGATACATCAATCAGATCAAAATCATTTTTTTGGTATCTAATCATGACTTTTATCACGATTCTCGTGAAAGTAATGACTTTAAATAGGATATTTTTTAGTCGGCACTGAATTTGCGTTAATCATAAAATTTGTTTCATTATAATGCGGCAGTTTGGAATTTTGTAACAGTGACATTGTTTTACAGTCTGGTGCACGAGAACAAGCGGGTTTGCATTTAACAGGAAAGGAAAGTGATGTAACTATTTTAGATGAAAAAGAGTAAAATATTGAAATTTTGAAATTAGGTAGGTAATCGATTCTAATATAATTGGCAACTTGAGACGGAATAATCGTATAAAAAAAATCGTTTTGGACGAAAGAAGAGAAGAGGAAAAAAATATTTCAAGACGTAAAATGGTAGAATACATACAGGATATCCTATAAGTAATGGATCAAATGAAGTAAGGTGATGGAAAAGATTGTTTGTGATCAGAATAACTATATTCTATGGCTAAGGGCGGGTTGTACAAAAGAATATGATATTATGATACAACGAGGTTAACAGTTTAAACTAAAAGGACAAAAAATGTATGTTCAACAATGTCGTTTTGAGTAAAATTGATTTAAAAGTTAGAAATGACTGTGATGAGCTGTATATTTTGCATTAGTATGTATTGCATCAGTAATTACATTTGTCTGTTTACTTTCTACTTAGTATTATTCAGTGTTTGGTTTACGATAGTGACAATATTCACTATATAATAACAAACTAACGGTAACCGAACACATGGACATACAATAATTGTGACTAAGATTACGGACATATAAGAATTGTTACTAAAATTACGGACATACAATAATATTATACTTAATAAAACAATATGTAATTGAAGGGGACATAAAAACATGATAAAAATGGTAATAGTATCTAATATAACAAAAACAAAACATTAGTCTGTTTCGTAATTAGATTAAGTTCAAGCCGCTAGCGGATATAAACTTCTTCATTAAGTTTCTATAATCTTAGAATTACCTCGTGGCACAGTTAATAAAGACAGCCCTTTTTGCATTGGAAACTACCAGGACACTGTCTTACTGTGGTGCATATTGTACTTTGTGTATATATCTTCATATTGTGTCACATTCAAACTATGTGCAGGTACTATGTTTATGTTTTTATTAGTGAACATATCTTGATTGTTATCTAACTAACTGGTAAACCAAGGGTCAGAGTCACCTTTATTCCAAAAGTAGGGAAAAAGGATACCACACAACCTAAATCCTTTCGACCATTCAGTCTCACATCCTTTGTATTAAAAACAATGGAAAAGGCTGTTGATAATTTTATCAGAACAGATATCCTGGAGATGATGCCAGTCCACCACAGCTAGCACGTAGGAAAATCTACAGAAATTGCCCTGGTACAGCTGACTGGTTTCAATGACAAAGAAATAGTCGCCTATGCCTTTTGCCTTAAGAAGATAGGATAGGAAGAGTCATTATAAGCATCGAGACATTTCCTTAATAATGCAAATAGATCTTTGTGCGTATTAACACTCCATTCCCAATATTAATTACATAATCGTTTCAAGTAGATAGGAAGCATAAAGATTTTATCTCGAAGGACATAATTGTATTCCATTTTCGACAAAAATTGACATATTATATTTATCGATTTAGTCATCTATAATATGTTTTATTTTTTACCTAAAACTGCTTATTACCTCAAAAAATAAAGAAAAAAATGTGTTATTTAATTTTCTTTTTAATGTACACTTTAAAATGATATTAAAGCACCTTCCTAAACTCTATTTTTTTCAAATGACACTCACTTTAAAGTAAAGAATATGATGGGTAAACCAAAAAATGTGCGATCCCATTTAAATTATAGCCACAATTTTTATAAAAATAAGTTTAATAAAAAAGTACATTTGTAAACGTATATATGTTAAAAAAAAAAGAATAAGCTGAAAAAATACAGCCTTTTTTTCAGTTTCAATTATCTTTTGAACTGGTAACTATTGGATAACAACATGTTGCCTCACTGAATTTAATCGATGACGTATGGAACAACCTGCATAATTTATGTTCCTCATGACATACCCTCAAAACTCAAAATCGGTAGATCTGAAAGTGCGAAATTTGAAAAGTATATATGTATATAACACATACATTGAATTATAAAAAAGCAATAAAAATATGTTTTACAAGATCAATTTACATGTTGTGGGCAAGTGTGAGGAAGCTACTTCTGAGCGACTATAACGGGGATCATAATAAGGCATTATCAACTCAAATGACATCTTAATAAATTTTTTGAGTTTAGTGTTTTAAAGGTTCAATAATTTTGGAGATTATGAGAAATATTACAGTTAGAATAAGGGAGAAGGAATTTTGAATATGTAGGTAACACAACATGATGTGTCAATAATTATAAACATAACTATCGAGATTTTTGTTAATCTTTTGGACATTTACCATTTTAAATCAGATTTACACGGTCAAATACTTATTTTGCTTTTTTGTAAAATATTTTTCTATTCCTTGTATCTTAACTGAAAATTTAAACATATTTTTTATATATCTGAAAATCCGAAGACGCTATAGACATAAAAATCTATTTAAATTCTCTTTTATAATAAAAAAAACAGTTATTCTAACATCGTTTCTCATCTTATAGAAACACAGAATACATTTTTATTTCATGAAACGATGTAGAACAACTAATCTTAACATATTGCGATGATGTATTTTCGTTTAGTTAATATAAAAGTAAGGTATATAAAATAACAAGATTTTAGGTATAAAGTCATTTGTCTATCAAAATGTAGGTCATTAATCATAAAAATGCAATAATCATCTCAAGAAGATGAGAGAAGATGACAAAAGATTTCCACAAATATATTTGAACTATTAATATTTCTATTAATTTTCCTACATATCTCAATAATAAATTTTTTAAAACTTACTAGAAATTAATTATCTAACGTTGTAGATAATTTAAGTTTATACGGATAGGGCACTTAACATCAAAGGCAACATTTGACAAAACTCAACAACAAAAAATGTGGATAATTGAACTATATACTCATTATATATCTAGGAGATTATCTGATAGAGATATCAAGTATTGTAAATTCGTAATTATTTTCTGGGAAAGTATTGCTAGATACAATTCTTTACGTGTGTATATATATGGGGTGACGCATTAATATACGTTTATCTTTACATATTTTGCAATTTTAAGCCAAAAAATATGGAAATACACAGGTAGATTCATAATAAGTCAAGCATGTCTTAGGATTTCTGTGGAAAACATACACAATTTCACGAAAAGTTAGTCTGTACGCAAGAAGCCTGAGAAATTGCATATTATATCCTTTTTATAATGGATAACTCCTATAGCAGCGTATCAGGGAAATGAAATGTCATATGAAAATGTAAACCAAATCGAAAAGATAAAATAAATAAACTTATGGTGCTGTAATGGACATGATCCCAATAAGTTGATTATTCAATGCAGTGGCCTGCTCGGTTTCCAGATCTAAAGTCTTTGGTTTTCTTTTGGGGCTACTTAAAATCTTATATATACGGGTGTTGAATTATATTCAACATTGCTCTAAGTTTTCATTCTCAATTCTTTATTATTCCTGGAGACGTCTCTGCAAACGCACTGCCTTTTACTCCTGGAGGCGCCTCTACCGCCACTACCTTGGCCGATAAGAATGGTCTCTCGTCTAATAGCTACGTCATAGGCGTCATTCATTTCTTGTCCATACTCGATAATCGCCTTCATTGGTTAAAAACACCGGCGTTATATACTTCCTTATTTGTCAATGTCAAGCGCCACTGTCAATCTAGCTGAGCAACTTCTCTTCTGGCAGATCATAAAAAACAGTAACTAAAAAACATCGCTTTGCGGTGTAAAAGAAGGCAACGCTTTCGGCGGCGATCAGGAATAATTTTTAAAACCATAAGAATGACTTAAGTGCTTAAGCAACTAATTTCTTAGGAATGGTCTGTAGATAGTGTAGAAAATATGTAGTCTGGAAGTGCACCATGCAATAAAATTAACATCGTTTCAGTAGTGTTTTAAAATAAAGTGTGTAATTAGAAGGTGATATTTTCATCCAATAATTTTTCCATTCCTACGGATCGCACAGGTATTTCCAACATTATTTAATACAATTCACAATTTGCCAAGGTCTGTATGTCGGTTTTAGTTTGTTTATTGGAGCGGAAACAGCGTTAGAAGCCTATCTTTCCGTCAATCTGCGACATCGGGAATAAGGTATCATAGACGTTTTAAAAATGTTCATTCGACACCCTAGCATCTGTAACATCTGAAGGGTGGGTTACCTCACGGCACTTAATTATCACTGGGCCCATTGTGCATCCTAATAAGATGATAGACACATCCTAGCTCGTGAACTAGTTTACAACGTCGCCAAGAGGTGCTTCTCTTATATCAGCCGGTATTCTTAGCCGATACTCGTCGAACACAAATCTTCTAATATATGAGAGCGTCGGGCAATTGTAGAGGATATGCTCGAATATGTTAGCACCCCCTGCAGAGTGCTAATTCTGAGAGTTCCATGATATGAAGTTGCTTCCGTACTTGGAAATGACCAGTCAGAATGCCTGTGACGAGGCGCAGATTCTGTCTAGTCATAGTCATGTATTTGTTTGCTGTAGTGTTTTCAGGATAATTTAGAAGCTCCCTAGCACTCTGCAGTTTCTTTATTCATCCAGTCTTTCTTTGAATTTCACAAGAGAATGATCTTTAATTAGATCTGTCACTATCGATTTTGTCAGGCCAATGGAAAGGCCAGGTCCAAAAAGTATTTGGTTGGCTGCCTTCTTGGCGTGAACTTTGGTCCATCTTAAGTTGACCACATTGTTGATGGTTACTATGGCGTCGTGATATTCTAGTACTAACCCTGACTAAATTCGTGGACTTTGCAGGGTGAGTAGTGCTTGTCTGCCATCTCTCTAGATGAGAATGTTCTTTCCAGTGATATTATTTCTGGTGATTTCTATTGCTGCTATGAGAATCCCCGTAAGGTATATTTGAACTATACTGGCACTATTTCTCACAGCCCATTTTATGTTTAGATTTGATGATCTGAAGTATATTCCAAATCCTGAGCTTTGCTTTGTTTTAGATTCGCCGGTGTAGATATATTCTTTTCTAATTTTATATGGCTCAAGGAAGATATATCTCCTATAGCAGTGGGACCATAAATATTCTTTTCGAAGAAAAACAAGAAGAAGAATGGAAATTAAAAAGATTAACTAGAAAAACGAAAATTACCAAAGAAATCAAAGCAATCCTTCAGAAATCCGATCTAAAAGATAATTTTGAATAAACACCAAATTGATAGAAATAATCTAAAATATTTGTGTAGCTATATGAAAATTTTATATCACAACGCTTTTAAATATATTTTTAATCTTCCTGTATATCTAGACCTTCCATAATACCTTATCATTGTTTTGTACTTTTTTAATCATTTTATTAATCCTCTCTCAGCTCAATACAGTTGACTTTCAAATAACTCCCCTACGCATTTTGTAATCACTATGATGAAATAGTAATAATAAATGTAACTGAAAATAATTATATCGTCATTTTTTGCGTGACTCGTAATATTGATTGATTTGTTATTAATAAATTAAATAGCTGCGTAGAAGGTTAACAGAATAATAGGTTGTATCCTCAAGTTTTGAGGGTTATAAACGATGAGAAATATAAATATATAGATAGTTATCGTAACTCTTTAAATGTCATAGCTACATTTTATATTTCAGAATTTCCATGTTTTCGTGTTTTCATGTTTTTCGTACTCCCTTATCTTTTAACTAGGTCAGTCGATATACCTTTTCCTCTTTTGTCATTAGACCAAAGTCACTAGCAAAATTGTGACTGAATTAATGTACTGTAGTTTTTTTGTTTTATCTGAATTATTAACTCTTTAACGGGTGCTGGTATATATAGGTAGCATTTGTTATTATGGATCTGCCCATTGTATTTGTCTAAAATGTCGACTTTCGTGTCTATTTCGATAAAGGTTTCGCTCTAAAGTACAAATATTTTTCCTTGGCTGGTACGTATGCGTACCACAAAAAAGGTTGGTACTATATACACGTACCACAAAACATAGTGGTACATATTTGTACCATCAATTTAAAAAAAAAGACTTATATTAAAATATTATTCATTAAACGTTTAAACAAAAATAAATACATAACTCACCTGTCCGTTTTGAATGGAAGCAAAGGTCCTTTGATCAGTCTTTCTTACCATCACAATCCTGCTGGAGCCATCGTGACCGTGGGCGGTTTTTCTGAATCTGTGCAGGTCCGTGAGGGAGCCTGGATAAGTGGGCTTCCTCCTGGACAAATAAATTTTTATTGTATATAGTCCGCACATATCTAATTTTTATAGTTTTTTACACATGTTTAGTCAGACATCAAGTTACGAGTTTTAGTTTAAGGCCAAAAGACATCGGTGTCGCGATAGAGTAACGCAATACAAATAGTTGGTTGCGGATTAAAGTAAGATGCGCATTAGAGAGCTCATTTCACGAAAGGTTTTATTACTTTATCAAGCAGGTACAATCCGTAGGACGATCAGTGCGCTTATTTTGTAGACTTTATTTCTTCCTTCTAATAAAAATTTATTCTGTTCTATTTTATTTCAATAGGTATTTATTTTGAATAATAATTTTTTAATAATTTAATTTTTTAAATTTATATTACTCAAAACACTTCTCTATAGATATACATATATAATCGGCTCAAAATATTTGTTTCTATTTTTAATCAGGCAAGTAAAATGTCCAATTAAAATTTTAAGACGTAGTGGGCAGAGATGTCCTTGATTAACATTTCGGGGTTAGTAATAGAAAAAGATTACTTAACGGGGGTCTTGAGTGTTTCAAAAAGGTATATCATAAATTCTTCCTCAGATAGATTACCAAAAAATAAGTGGATTTGGCTATATTTACCTATTTCAAAAACTGGTTCCCAATAAAGTTACAGGGCGTTAAACTAACATTCAGATAAACGTTTTTTTTTTTTCTTGTAAAAAGTTTATGTTGCGATTTTTTCTTTGAAATTTTTGTCAGTGCTGTAGATTCTAAGAAAAAAAATTAAAGCGACCCCTTTAAAAAAAGGTGGGGGTTGGATAACTTTTAAACCCCTTCGTATTTTTTTTGACATAAAGAAATAGGCTTTATCGATCTTAAAATAAAAAAAAAATTAATTTTTAATCGCTTTATTTTTTTTTCTCCTTAGAATATTGGGTCTTCAAATCTACATCACTGGTAAAAATTCAAATTCTTACAATTTCTTCCAAACAAAGTTGCAGTGGTACTGACGCCAAATTGTATTAGAAATATCAGAGTTTATGTGCTTTTATTACCTTAACCTTAGAATTTAGGATCCAACTATATTTAGCTTTTGCTCAATTTTGATTCTTTAATCACCTGGTATCCCTGTATATTATTTTTTATAAAACCGTGCGTAAAGTATTAATTTTACGCTCTAGTGCGTAAAGAATTTGTTTTTACGAATTTAGTACATAAATAAGATATAATTTGTCTGTTTTAGAAATATAAATATTATAATGATATTATAATTTTAGGAAATATAAAATTGTTACTTGCTAAAATTGTTAATTGATAAGTAATGTATGCCTATCTAAGTAGGCTATGACGTGATTGATATGTCTTAATTCATTTTTATTTTTAGAGCATTTTTTTAATACATGAGTGTCATTAGTTTTTTTATTCTTTTTTTATTTTATAATGAATTATTTCTGTGTCATTAAATCATTAAAGTGTTTTCGTCGATTTTTCTGGATTTCAAACAGATTTTTATTTTACAAAGTCCAGTGGCGCCCGGTAAATTATTTGTATTTTCTATTCCATTTAGATTTTTAATTTTAAAATTAAATTGTTTCAAAATGTTACAATTTGGTGATAATACTAACGAGAATATAGACATTTTAATTGAATTTTTTTGGTAAGAATAAAAAATACATTATATGGAATTTATTTGTGAAGTTTGGCCATATCAAAACAGATACCTAAATAGATTACGAAATATTTTCTAACAAAATATGCTTGGGCTACTGATATTTATAAAATTTTCTAAAAATTCGCTACGACTGACGAACTTCATCTTCAGTAACTTATGGAATTATTTGTGAATTTGGAAAAAATATAATATGGTTACAATAATGACCGTAGGAAAATTTATAAATTACAAAGTCCTTTAGCAAAATTTTGGCTACAACTAACTTCATTTTTATCTAGTTAAAAAAAATAGAAAATTAGGAATTATTTTTTATACCGTCCCACTTCACACAAAAACAGATTACTCCACACTTTCATTTCCATCTAAACTTTTTCACTCTTTTAATAAAAAAAAATAACTTTATTTTTCTAACCATTCTTCTAGCAGCACCATTGTGCTTTACCGAAGCGAACCTGCACTAATACTGTGCACAAAGTGTGAATAACGCTGGAACCTTTCCAATCTTGGTTCCATTTTGGCGGCCAAGTGTAACAAATAATATCAAATCAAAGACCATCACGGCATTGGGACGTTTCGTTATTTTATTCGATTTTCAGTATTTTTTTTCTTCTATGTTTGTGATCGTGTACAACAAGGATCGATTTCATTTTTTAACATCGATATCGTGCGATATGTGGACACCGGTCGGTTCTCACGCGCACAGTGACGGTGCTAGGGTTTAGTGACAAGGCGGTACCTTCAGTAAAACAATTTTTATAAAAAAAAAAAAAGTAATTTTTAGTATTTTAACTTGAGATTCAAAAGAGAACACACGTATAAAACAAACAATAAGGTTATTACTCTAGTCTAGTCAATGGCTTACATTGAACTAAAGAATTCTCAAAGGTAGTACGTTGACATTCAAAATAGTAAAACTGTCGCGTAAATTTTGGATTTAAATAAATAGACTAAACATAAAAAGACTGGAGTGAGGACTAAGGTCCAACACTCTTGCCGAAATTCTCGTTTGTGTAAATATCTTTAACTTATTCTAAAAGTGTTTTTATATTTATATATCTCCATCTAAAGCTACATCAGTTCTTTTGACGCGGTATCAAGAGATTTTGGAGCAAATTGCATTAATAAAACTGGCGCCCGAGTAATTTTCGGGTAAAACACGTCAAAGGAAAGGATTATTTTCTTATAGACAAGAAAACATCTTATAATTTACCACAGATACAGTGTGAGCTGCGAGAAATCTTACTTGATCAGATGGAATATGAATATGAGCATTAAAAAAGCGTTAATGTCCCAATACTTATTTTTTAGTAACTCATAGAATGAGTTGCAAATTTGGGAAAACTATTCATTTGTCATTTACAAAGTACTTCAGTATGCCTAAGAAATAGTTATTTTTAACCGACTTCAAAAAAGGAGAAAATTCTCAAATCGTCGGAATATTTTTTTATGAAGTTCTTTTCTTTGTTAGAAAGAGGGTACCTCAGGGGTGGTCCCATATAAATTTTATCAATATCTAATAATGGTGTCCATATGAAAATCATTAAACTCTTCATTTTTAAGTATTTTTAGCAATAATTCTTTACTACGTTGTCCGATTTATGTGATTCTTTTTTTGTTAAAAAGGGGATACCTCAGGGATACTTTTGAACAGTGTTGCCAGAACATTTTGAGGACTCTAAAATTAGTCTACTGGTCATCAAAATAAACCATAGAAATGTAAATTCGTAGTATAATTTTTTAAAAAGAAAAATACCTACTCCTACAATGTTTTTTGTTTAACTTTTCCTCGCCTCCCACTAAAACGACCAACCAAAAGAAGAATTACATCTAGAGAAATGACTTAATTGGACAGTACACTTTTCGATTTCTATAATTAACTGTAAGTTAATAACGGTTTTCGATTTTTTTAATCATCATTCTTCTCTCCACAACCAGAACCACGTTTTTTTTATAACAATAATCATATGCTACGTTCGATACTATTAGAACCACAATCAAAAATTTTACCGTGCATTTTTGTAGCAGTAAAAGTAATACTCCTATTTGATTTTGATTTAATTATATATCATGTAACTAAGCGTTATCACGAAACTTTTAAATTGCTTTTGATTTAAATTCGTTTCGCACACGAGTTCATTAAATCAATTAAAGTGTTCCACAAGGGTGTGTAACGCGCCCGTTTAAATCATTATTAACTATGGATAAGAGGCATGAAATGGAATAAAAATAAATTATTTGTAACAAAGTATCTTGGGGCAGGCGAATTGAAAATAAATAATAATAAGTCTTAACAAAATTATGTAACATATGATAATTATATTATAAAATTTGATATATTTAACCAGTATTACCTACAAATTTCATTTTGAAAATTTGATTAAAGGTGTTTGTAAAATCTACACAAATATAATATAAATATTGTCAGTCCCCAAATGAACGGCAGTGACATTTCTGACAGAACTGACAGTTCAGTTTAGTTCCTTTAATGGGCCTTTAACGTCAAATCAGGCACTTTCGATGGGTTTTTGATGGTTAGCAAATCATGTGGGTTTCGGATATTGTTGAAGACCTGGTATCAAGATTGCATAATTAATTATTATGATTTAAATGAAGATGTGATAGTGAAGCAGATTATTTGCAAGAAGGAGTATTAGAAGAACTAATATTAGAAAATTAAAGCTTACCTAATATTAAACGGAACCAAAAGAGGTTGTGGTTGTATGTACGGAAACTCTATTTTATAAAAAATTACATTGCCATTGTTTAATTATTTATGTGTTATTTTTAATTACATTTTCTTTTAGTATATTATGTAGTTTTATTGATTGGTATTTAACTGTTATTTGAATTGAAAAAATATAATAAAATATCAATTTAATTTAGTTTTATTTATTATCCTGCCTTTAAATACCTGTCATTTATCCATCCACTATAGAATTGCTGTTTTAGTTTGATTGAAATATATTGATATGAAAACCGTAGAGATAGAAAAAATTGTATCTCCAGTTTATTATAAAATACACGAAGCTTATATTTTTTTAGTGTAATAAAATCGAATCTCTACACCTAACTACTAGTTTTTTTATGTCGTACGTTTAGAAAAAACAGTATTTTCTTTTTTAGGAGGTGAAAAGTCGTATGTCCAACTTTAGGTATTATTAATAGAAATACACTCACCGGCACGAAAAACGGAGCAGTTGAATTTTTTTAAACAAACTTAAAATTTTAATGCTTTGTGATGTTTTATTATTATAATATCTTAAACATAAACAAAACAACGTGTTTTAAGCATTTTCTAACAACAATTGAACCTTTATTTGAAGAAAAAAAGCGTTTTTGAATAAAAATCAAA